CTTGTTTTGCATCCACAGGACCTCAACACCTTGCTTTTATTGAGTCGGTCGTGGACTCCTTTGTATACCAAAGTATTCTAGAGTCAAATTTGAGACCATCTGTCAGACAGTTAAACCTTGGCTGAAATTGGGTCATGCAACAGGGCAATGATCCCAAGCATGCCAACAAATCTCCAACAGAATGGCTGAAAAAGAAAAGAGTCAAGGCGTTGCAGTGGCCCAGTCAATGTCTGGACCTCAACCCAATTAAAATGCTGCGGCAGGACCTCAAGAGAGCTGTGCATAAACAAATGCCCGCAAACCTCAATGAACTGAAGCTACATTGTAAAGAAGAGTGGGCCAAAATTCCTCCACAATGATGTGAGAGACTGATCAACTCATACAGAAATGATTCTACAAGCTATTGAATCATAAGGTGTACTTTGTTTTTCACACATGGCTTCTCCATTTTGGCTTTATCTATGTAAAATGAGTCATGACACGGTGTAATATGTCATGTGTTGTTCATCTGAGGTGGCATTTGCCTAATTTTAAGACCTGCTAAGGGCCAGATGCTTTTATTATGTCCTTGTACGTAAAACCATAGAATTCAAAGAGGGTGCACTTTCTTTTTCACATATCTGTATATATTTACAAGCTACGCATAAAAACAAGGCTTTTAAAATGTTGATAAAATTATTCTGATCGGGCGGATCTCTTTTAAATGTACGTCCAAATAATATTAAAAAGACTATAGTTCCCCTTTAAAATGAATTTCTGGTGCTAGCTTGCTGCTTTGAGACATGTGCTAGACAAATCTGAAAACTTCAATAAATATTGAGATCTATGTGGGCTATTAGATGGTGCTGCCAGAAGGAACTCCGTCTGTCACTGGCACTACATAGAAAGACTGTTGTATATTATTAATCCCCTTGTTTACACACTTTAAGCAATGAAGCACATTGACATTTCTGTGTTTATTATAACACTTGGATGACTATATGTGATATTTGTTCTTCAATGTGGGCTTTATAGCCCGTAATGACTAAGTAGGCTTTCACTCATCAGAACTTCTAATCTGTTTGCCTGAACGTCTTCCAGCACATACTGTTCTATGAAGTCGTGGTTCTTAATTGTGCTAGTAGTGATTACATTTAGATTTCCTTGTAGTGTATCTTCCTACAGCCCAGAACATGTGGGTGGGCTTCATTACGGATGTACTGGAACATATTCTAGAACAAACATTAAATACCACCAGCAATATATTTCCCAAAGACTTTAATTCTTTTTTTTTTTTGGGCCAATTTTAATTATTTTCTGTTTTAAAAGAACACCATTTTTTTAGAGGGTAAGGCCATGCAAAACTGATGTTTCAGTTATGGGTGAATACTGGTGGGTTGAATGCAGTTCCAGATTTGTGGAAAGACTTGGGGGCAAAGTTTCAAGGGGTGCCTGCAACCCTAAAAACAAAATACTGTACACTTTTTTCTTTTAATCAATTTTTTCACAAGATATCCCCACTTGATTACGTAGCTCTGCCTTCCTAACCGCAGTCCACTCACTTAGCCCCCATTCACATGTAGCGACTTACACCATTTAGATGTGGGTGGGGGTTTTAAAAAGCCCTTCCCCACCCACACAAGCGGCTAAAATGCTCAAATTTGAAACAACCCACGATGACTGTTTAAATACAAGTGTTCCGGCGACTGTAGAGCCGCCCCATCACTTGTATTTTACGTGTGTGACTAGGACATGTGACCATGCACATGATCTCAGAGGAAGAAAATGGCGTTCCCTGAGATCTCTTGATTTCCCAGCAATGCATTGCTGATGTAACCTTCCCAGGATCCAATGCATGCGCATGATTACATCATTTGTGCCAAATTGGACCAGGAAGTGGAAAAAAAAGAAATTGTAAGTAAAATCAAAAATAAATAAATATATATTTGTTTAGATAAAGAATGTAAGATGATTTCATATCAGCCTGCAGAGCTACAGATGTGAATGTTTCTTTTATATTATTTTGTTTCTAACACATATTAGAAAAACATGTTTATTGACATGCTACATTCTATTGAATGATTTTTAATAGGTATATAGTATTTAATATTTAGAATGTGCTATTTCTCCTGATAATAAACATGATAAACCAATTATGTGAAAGGACCATTTTACTGGTAGATATTCTAATTTTACTTTTAACTAGCTCTGTCAGTTTCAGACAGATTCACAGAAGTGTCTGTGCCATGTATGTGAATCTGGCCTATTTCCTCCACTTGTCATAGATATAAGAAACGGTTCCTGTTAAAACTTAGTACCAGTCTTTGTAAACTCCCCTGTATATGTTTAATGTTCCTTCAATTAAATGAGTGCAGACTTTCCTTTTTTCTGCATATATCCTCATTTTACCTTTTTGTAAACAGTAGCTCTGTCACACTTCATTAGTCATGCCTGCGGCTTCTGTTTTTTATTCTGATTCAAGCAAAATGGACAGCACTACTTGAATGCTTATACCCAGCTTCCACTTTTTTTATGACTCAGTCAGGTAATGGTCAAATGCAATTACCCATATCAACCAGTTTCACTGAATGTACCGTGCACATCGTCTTTGGTCTTTCCTCTGCCTCATTATAGAAGCTTGAATAGGTAACACATCAGTGGTCCTAAGGTGACTGATTGAAATCGGAGAGAATGATCTGTTTTGAAGAAATTCTTTGTTAGCGTGTTACATCATAGTCAACTTGCTCTGACAGGGTAACTAAGTGGCCTGAAAACGTAGCCCGTAGAAGCACTTTTTCACCCGCATTCTTAAATTGCTTGGAAAGCATCCAGCAGGAATTCTTTTTCTGTGGCCAACATTAACCATAGCAATCTTTGTGACTATACAGTGCCCAATGTTTGCAAGTCGTGCAAGACCTTAAAACGTTCTTGAGATAATCGGGCCATGTGGTGGATAACAACAAAGCGGTTATGAGACTTAGTCCTAGCATTTCTTACACACTGAGATTGTACTATATCTTTGATCATTAACAGTCATTTGTAACAACTGTAAGTAGAAGACTTGCGGTCTTTTAGCATTTCATGCACACAGAGTTCTCCCTACATCTTTGATCATTAACAATCATTTGTAGCAGTGGAAAGAGATGTTAAAGCTGAGCTACAGCTAAACAGCTAAACATACAACTCAAATACATAGTTGTAAAATATGCCATAGGATTTGTAATTATGCTCAACATGTATTGTGATGGAGGCATTCATGTCAGAGAGCATGGCTAACCTTACAAACCACATTGCAGCTTAGTAATTCATCTTGGTAAAGGTCCTAGATCAGGCTGTGATTGCATAATAAAGGAGTAGGATAAAAGATAATAAAGCAACACACTGATGAGGTCATGTTCTCTTTTTCTTTCTGCAAGCTGTCCTTCCCCTACCAAGTTAAGTTACATTCACACGGTGCTTAAGTCTGTGGCTGGGAATCCTGCAGCAGGAATGTGTCTACAGGTGCAGCATTCTGTCTGCATCCAGGAACAATCGTCCCTGCAGGTAATTGTTACATGTCGACAACCCCTGACAGATGTGGCCGCTGTCAGTCACAGGAATCCATAGATTCTTGCTGCAGGAATCCCCAGCAGCAGTCTAAAGGCCCATGTGAATGTGGCCTTGGATCCTGGTTTGGAGGTTTCGCAGAATGCTACTATGTAGAGACATGGGTACTTGTGCTACCTTTTATTAAAAAAACACATTTAATTATTTTTAATAAATAATTGTGTTTTTGTATGCGTGCCTGGTGTTCAGCTTTCACCATGCATGCTCCATAAGGCAGATCCAGGTGCTACAGTGATATGAAGTCAAATCACTCACTACCTATTATTCTCGACCCACCCTGGGAAAAGACCGTTAGTGAATGAACTAACCATAATCTCTAGGTATGTACATGCAAAGACAGAGACCCTCAGGAATACACTAGATTTTAACAGGAGTGTGTTTGTCTGTTCACATTCTTCTTTCGTAGTGCTTGTGCTGTATATAATATGTGATTTTTTTTCCATTCAAAAAAAGGAATTCTTGGCCTTCCTTCCCTCTCTCTACTTAGCAGCCAATAATTTTATTAACGTGTGAAGCCTTGGAAGATTTTCACATCTCCCTAACACCTCTAAGCTGAACCTCACCATGCATCTCCTTTAACTCATTCACATCTGCAGACAGTAGTCACTCGGCAATGGGCTGACCAGCACTTTCAGTTAGACTGAACTGCAAGAGCACGTTATCTTCATCTGAGAGCAACCTAGTTTAATCCAACGAACAAAAAGCCTGATTACTGCTGATTATCCCTATTCTAGGAAACCGACATAGTTTATATCCCTTAGGCTATTGCAGCCATTAGCTATAGTGAAAGATACTTTGCTGAATGTGGGCAAAGCGTATCTGCAATGAATAGATGTTGCATCATAGGCAGGCTGTGTTAACCAGCATGCTGACTGGGACATAGCCCAGTGATTAAAACCATTAAAAAGAACTGCAAATAAATCCCGCAGACTCAGCAAAGTCATGTAGTAGATCTTCAATTAAATTAAACAAGGAGACGCATGGCGCTTCGAGGGATTACAAACTGTAACCAAGCCCTGACCAAAGGTGAGGATAATGACCGATGTTAGAACTGTAGAAAGACGTTACTGCCAGAGAAAGGAAGATGTATTACTGTGGCTTAGACTTAGTAGGAAATGACTTCATTTTGACTATATGCCACTAAGTATAATGCACTGCCTTTGCAATGTTTATTAAAGTAATGATCTAACTTAACAGAGAACAGCATTTGCTATCCTGATAAGATCTAATACAAGCACATGCCAGAGGTGGGGGCACTTCTTTTATTCACTGGGCATAATGTTTGACATGCCAGTATGTCTTGGGCCCCCGCATTGTCAGATAATTATTAACATATGTTTTAGTGGGTGTGTGGTCTTTTGGCACCAGTCAATCTGTCTTTGGATACGTCTTGATGCACTTATCCGCTTTTTCAGGCAGCCTTCCAAACAGAAGAAAGCCATCCAGACAGCCATTCGTAAAAACAAGGAAGCCAATGTGGTGCTGGCCAGGCTGAACAGTGAACTTCAGCAACAATTGAAGGTGAGAAATGCTTTCCAGATCTCATTTACACTGTGAGAACATGCCTGGGCTCCTTTTGTTACACAGTTGTGTTGAACAAAATGGAAGGACTTTCACTTTTATATAAAAATTTAAACCTCTACATGACCTGCAGGGGACACTGCTTGTTTGCTGCTAATTTACTGTTTTAAATGTGTGGCTAAAAAGCTATAATTCTATTAGTGATCTGAGCTGCCTGGCTTCTGGTATGGCACCGTGCAGCCTCAGAAGGCCATTGCTTTCATAGAAAGTTTTTTTGAGACCAACACAAATTTTGTGTTGTCTAATAGAAAAATAGCAGAGCAGATGTACTCATTCTGACAGTTGGAACCCCAACATTAATTTTAGGCCCTTAGATTTTTCTGTGATCTTTGTACTGTTAGATCATATTTGGAACCATATTTTTTAAGGGGCCTTAGCAAAAAGTCAAGATTGATTGTGCACCACTGCTAGACGTTTGCTTGAATACACTGCCATGGCCACTTTATACCCATACATTTACAAAATGTTTACTTCTACAAGGATTGATGAAAGGTCTTCTTAAATGCTCCAAAAATGTATCAGTGGAACCTTGTTTTTAGATATTTTAATTACAGTCCGGATTCCCACAACACTCTGCTGAAACTGTCCTTCTAAAACTCACTAATGACTCACTAACCACTAAAAACTATGATCACTACTTTGTATTAATGCTCCTAGATCTTTCTGCTACCTTTAAAACGGAGGACCACTCACTTCTCCTCAAAAAACCTCCACTCCTCTGTCCTCCAAGACTCTGCTCTTTCCTGGTTTCCTCCTATCTATCTCAGCACTCTACCTTCTCATATCCTCTCCCTCTCTCAATAGGGGTTCCACAGGGCTCTGCACTCGAACCACTTATATTTTTTTTATGTACACATTCTTCCTGGGTCAGCTGATAACCTCCCATGGCTTCCCATACCATCTCTATGCCGATAATACTCGAATCCATCTCGCTACTCTTCAGCTCACACCCTTATTCTCATAATGCATCTCTAGTTTAATAACTGACATAGTGTGGATATTGCATCACTTCCTAAAACTCAATCTTTCAGAACTGAGCCCATAATATTCCCCTTTCCCCCCGTTGTCAACCTCCCCTGACTTCACCATTGAGATCAATAACACAATTATGAGTCCCTCCGCACATGCTAGGGTGCTAGGTGTAATTCTGGACTTCTGACCTCTTCTTCAAACCCCACATCCAATCACTGACCAAATCTTGTCCAAATTACCTTTTAACATTTTCAGAAGTCATCCCTTCTTTTACCAAAGACACCACAAAGCTACTAAGGTAGTAGCAGGCACCTGATAGTATGAGTTCTTGAAAGCTAAGACTTTCACTTTAAGCTTTACTGAAAGGACAATAAGTGCACCCCTGCACCTGGAATCCTGGGCAGCCAATTGTGACAGATTTGCCAAGGTCTGCAACAGATTTATCACTGGAGATGAGACAGATTTTCATTCTAAACCGATGCACAATTAAGTAGTGGTTGGGTCAGGTTTTATTCGGTTGGAGGGCTACTTTTGAGAAGCTCAAGGAGGAAATTATGACTGCCCTCAATGAGTCAGAGAGCAGTGACTCCTTTTTCACCTTCACCCTTCCTACGGTGGGCTCCCATCCAAATCAGAGGCAAAGTCTGAAAGGAAAAAAAAAACTATGTTTTTTTAGAGAAGCCTTATTACATGTTTATTTGTAAAACAAGGATTGTACAGTCATGTAAACAAGTAAGTACACCCTATGGGAATTGTTGATATTTTCCACATTTTCACAAGAGTGAAACATAAGATATTCACTCACAGTGATCACAGATAAAGCTGATATACTTCAAGAAGAACTGAAGGAAAATTTTGCTTTTCAATCATTTAACAAAAATATCAATAGGTGTAACTGTGGAAAAAGTAAGTATACCCTTGGCATCATAAGCTGCTATTGTCCCCTTTAGAAGAAATTACTTCTTGTAGGCATTTTGTATAAGACCTGCCAGTCTATGGCATCGACTCGGGGACCAGTGTTCCATGCAAGAATTACTTCAGTTACAAATGTTTGACCATGTCATATTGACAATACACACGTCAATAGCAAAGAGAACGCCAGACCATAGATACCTGACATTTAAATAAGACAGGTTCCACTTGTAAAATCCCTTAGGCATGAGCTTCTCTGCAGCTCAGTTTAATCTAAAGCTACGTCCCAGCAGTGGCTCTGCAGAGTAAACAGGTGTTCTGAGTGAGCTGCTGAGACATTGCCTTGAACAACTTCATTGCTTCTGCTGTGAAATCATGCTCATGGCCCACAGGTACACTTTAAAATGCTCTGGAGGCATCTTGAAAAATCATCCCTGTGTTGTATTACTACACGTTTTGACACTCCTGCATGTCTCACTTTAACTTTGGTAATCCATATTCACATACTGTATATACTGTAACATTCATTTAGAAGTAGCCCTACCTGCAGCTAAGTGTATATTTTTTAATTTTCAGGAAGTCCATCAGGAAAGAATTGCCTTGGAAACCCAATTGGAACAGCTTCGTCCTCTTACCGTGTTATGACCAAGAAGGCACAGCAATACCACTGATAAGGATGTATGAACTGCACATATCTAGTGACCTAATTGTTGTCATTACATACATGATGCTGATGCTGGTCAACATTGGAATGAGATATGTTCACCTTGTTGCTTGTTTTATTGAAGAAGCAAAAAATATTTCTGATGTAAACTCGGTCTAGTTTAGAAAACATACTCCATATGCTGTGTTGAAAATTTAAGGATCATTGTTTAAGTCAGCACAACACACAAGGGCTACAGCTGAGAATTCTGCTGCATGCACTTATTTTATTTTTTTACATGCATTCATGGACCATCGGAGGCATTGAAACTCTTGAATATTCATTTGAACTTTTCAGCTTATATTATCTGATGACTTTCTTCTATGATTTCATATAATATGTTCTGTTATGGGAACAGAATTTTTATCAAGCTATTTTTACATTGTGTGTTTTAGGTTTTAAGAGAATAATAGAACTCCAAGTCTTTGATGTACATTTGAATATGCCCTTTCTAGCATACTGGAACAAATATTTCCATGTACAAATGATCATTTCTGATGTAAATGGAATCAAGTGTCTGAAGAAAAGTGTCTTTTCCGTGCAAAAATAAATATGTAAAAAATTATTTTCCATGTGCCTTGTTG